GTGAAGCTCTTCACACTCACTCTGATTTACAAAAGTAGTCATTAAGTAATTCATGCTGATATCAGTAGATTGCTTAAAAAAACAACAGCATCAAACAGATATTTATATTATATGATGATGTATTTATTATGCTCAGCAGATCATTTAAGTATTGCTGGATCACTGTGCTAGCATATCTGCATTTTACTCATTTTACTGCATTTGTAAACATAAAAGAAGTAAATATTAGATTTCTCTTTAATGCTAGTCAAGGTAGATCTAGTCTCAATTTCGATATTTAATAAATGTTTATGTATCAGCATTGGCAGAAATGTACATGAAATATCGGTTAGCAAATTTTCCATATCAGTGCATTCCCAATTTAATGTTTAAATAAGTGAATCCAAAGTGCTTCTAAAGCGTCACTCAAAAGAACCCTTTTAGCGCCTTTAATTTGAAGAGTGTATTAGAAGATCGCATGCTTTCACGTTGCAGTCATGCTGTCTCTCAATAAACTCCAGAGCAAGTCAGGAGGCTTTAAATTGCATTTCCCCTTGTGCGTTTATTTGAGCGACCCCATAACGTCCGCTAAACAACTCTGACAGCACCAGCTTCTTTAGAAAAGGGCTTTTAGGATATTTCCAATCATCAGGTCGTCTTTGCTCTGTGAAGGAGATTGAATTTGTCATGAATTTGAGGTTTCCCTGTCTCTGTCTTTATTGGCTTTTTCTGATGGAGGAAGATGAGTATTCCGGGCCACAGATAACGGATATTCCAGACCCAGATTCCCAGAAAGGCAGAGGAATGATGCCAGATAAGAGTGACGCCATCCGATGTACTGTTATACTGTAGAACAGAATGGATCCCAGCACCAGATTTCTCTTTTTTTCTCTCTCTTTATTCCACTGGCACTCAAGATAACAGGGCCTTGTTACTAGGGTTAGAGGTCTTTTTTTTATTTTTATTATATTATTTCTCTCCCTGACTGACAGTGGTATTATCTTAAAAGCCGAGAGATGTGTCCTGCAGAGCTCTATGTGTGGAGAAATGGCCCCACAGTTCAAACATTGGAATGAAAGATAGAGTGGAGGAGAATGGAGAAGCACATTGCGCTGCTTTTGGCCCCTCTTGGGCAACATGCGTGTAATTCACATGGAGGCATGTTCCTGTAACCTGCCGCGAGTGATATTTGTACGTCTTTGGCATGGAGGATACATCCATATGGGTATATGGAGAAAAAAAATATGTAGACATTTCTAAATAGGTCTGAAAATGCATCTTATTTGTCAAAGAGTGTAAGCCATTAAATCAGTTATCTGTTGCAAATGAGGCTCAGGATTCTGAGCTCCCAGTTCAGAGCCCTCTCTCACTAGCGTAAGCAAATTTAAAATGAGTTCACACAGAGAAATCTCACATCTCTCAGCGTATGCCACATTGTCGCTAATTGGAAGCCAGGCTTGATGGAGAGAAACAGTTGTCACACGCCTAACAAATTCATCGCAATCAGAGGCGCTTACGAATTTTCACTTGAGTGTGATGCTTTTTTTTTTTTTTCCCTTCATTCCCCCATTGGGTTTTTCACATTTGGTAAAATGCTTCTTAGTGCAAGTTCAGAGCAGAAAGCTTAGTGCATTTTGTCAGAAATTAGACCAAAGGATGTGTGCTTTTGAAAAGGCGAACATAAAATAATCAGCTAATGGGCAAATATGGCATTCAGACGTATGTGAGCGCTCCCCAACATCTGGAAAAGTAGACTGCTTTCATTGGAATTCTGTTTGATGTATGACATTGAGGAGTCAAGTCTCAGATGCCGAACTGTTTAATGAATGGTATGGTGGTTTTAAAACAAGCTGAGAGAGTTAGCAAAAAGGCGTGCATAGCAATTATTTCGGGCCTCGTTAAAAGCCTCCCACCCCTTCCATTCTCTCCCAATCAATCGCCACTTTAGCTCAAATGAAGGAAGCTTGAATGTTGGTCTTCTCTCAGTCTAATTAGCTTAATTGCCCCAATGTGGTAAATGCAGGAAGAGGAGGCATGCTGTTCATCAGGGACGTTTTCCGAGAGTTTCGTCTGCAGTTGTGTGACGCTGTTGTCGGAATGTTGTTTGAATGCTCCCAGTTGGGTCTCACTTGGTACGGTGCGAATTTGCGTGAAATCCCTCAGTCTACTCTTTTGGGACTTGTCAGAAAAATTTTAGATTTGTCGAGTGAAAGTGTGAATCCCTTGGTTCAGTAAAGTTGTCCCTTTTAGGTGGCCTACAAAAATAATCTGCTTCCAGATATGCAGCCTAGCTCCAGTGTTGGTGTTCATTTTGAATGCATCAAAAAGCTAATCCATCAACACTGTGCTCACACCAATTAGCCCAGATTAACCGTGTTCTTTTACACATGCACGCAGTCATCTCAAATATATTTGCACATTCCAGCGATGCATTAGACCATATTGCGAGGATCTGCTCCCACCTTTGGCTCTTTAGCACTCTCATATGCTTAATAAGCCTCAATTATTTGACATTGCTGCAAATTATAAATAGCTGAGAAAGATTTTGCCCAATTATCCAGAATTGTCTTAAGTTAAAAAATGACAGTTAGGGAGGAGGTGCAAAAAACCAGTCATGGGAATTTGTACACAACTTGTTCACTCGTTCACGCTCTGTATTTTTAAAACCCTTCTCAGTCTTAGACGGACACTTATGCTCCCCCTCCACCCTCATTATATTGATCCATGTGTTGCTTACACAGGCATTACCACACTCTTCAGATTGAAGACATGTCCGCTCTTAAACACACAATCTATTCGCTTTCTGTCAGCCTTACTCACTTGCCCCATTGACACTGGTGCCACACATTCTCCTTGATTTCATTAAGAGGAACTGCATAAGGTCTATATGAACTCACATGGAGATTTCATATGACATGAAAATGCATTTATTTCTGAAAGCTTAGAAGAAACATTTAATCCTCTTGACGTATTTTATACGTTCTTGTAAAACTCAAACTAAACACAGAAATGCTGTTCATCACAACTCCTTTTTAATTATATATATATATATATATATATTTGTATATACTGATGGAAAAACAAGCTGTATTTATTATCCATTGCAGAGAATTTTCCATAAAGAGAAAGAGAAGTGACAGATTCACTATTTGTTCAAATGTCTCACTTTCAAAATGCATCATAAAGGCAGGTACATTAAAGGGACTAAGTACTACCTTCGGACATTCCTAACACGCTAGCCTTACAAGATGCTCCCCGTTTCTGTGCAGTATGTTGAGTAAAAGATTGTCCAGCCATGTAAAAGACTGTTCTGTTCCACCACTTCATTGCCCACACACAAGATAAAGAGGTCCACAGTGTTGTATTATTTATTTTTTTTTTTCAAATATAAGTCCCTGATTTCTGTGTTTTCAGTATCTTAAGGGCATGGATTGATATACTAGCGTTTCTGTTAGATGAGAGAGATGATCGTGACAGAGTCAGACTCATGGAAATGTTCGCTGACCAATTTTCATGCCCTTTATTGGATTCAGTGCTCATGTTATTCTCCAGAGGCGGGTCCTTTATTGACAGCCCCTTCCCATTAGCTTGCATTAGGTTAGTACCAAATTGACCGCTTTTTCTGTGTCAACCTGTCAGTTTAGTTTGAATCTTCAATTAAGAGATGTCTCCCTTACATGATTGTCTTTAAGAGTGTGGGTTTTTTTTTTTTACATTCTCTGTTTTTGCCTTGTGAAAGAAAATATAATTTTAATATTTGTAGCATTTCACAAAGGGAGTACTAAATTCACCCATGAATGAATAACTATACTGGAAACCCCTTTCATGTGATTAGTGATAAATCCACTGTTTCACTTTGAAACACAAGACTTCCATTCACCAAATACCTGTATTTTTTTAATGACAAATTTCTTTGTGGGCATAAAACCCTCCCTCCCACCTTTGCTTTGTTGTATTTCTTGAAGCCCTCTCCCTCTTCTTCTTCTTCTCTCTCTCTCTTGTTAAAAGAAAAGAAACCCAGTAGCAATTTGAGTTCCTTCATTGTCAAAACCGTTATCACCCCTGTCTGCTCTCTGGGCTGGGAACAAAGTAGCTGCACAGCGTGCAAAAAGAAAAAAAGATAATGAAGGGAAACCAAAGAGAGACAGAGAGAATGAGGAGAATAAGAACCTAGAATCTGAATCACAAACAGAAAAGCTGAGTTTTCTTTTTTCTTTTCTTTTTTCCTTTTTTTCTTTTTCTTGTTTTTGTTGTTGACAGAGTAGGTGTCCCCAAGAATTGAAAGGCATCCTTTTTCCCCCAGCACATATATACAGTACAGGTAGTAAAGCTACTATACACACCTGGTCCCTCAGCATACACTTTCTCTTCATGCTAACCATATATGTCCCCTTAACATGATCTAGTTAAAGGAAACAGGTAATCATTGGTACTAACAAGGAAAGAAAAGTTCACCAAACCTTGGAAATGTTGGATTATGTCAATACCAAGAGTGGTATCTCTGGCACTTATTTGTTAAGTGTTACAAGCATGTTCCAGAGGATCTTTGCCCCAAATTGAGAAACAGATAGACTGGAAATAGACTGAAGGAGGCACAAAGGGTACATTGGACTAGGGGTGTGCCCATCGGAAATTTGCTTCATGATTATACATATGAAAATGAGGTCATTTCATAGTCTTGTCAGATATGATGTGGTGCCAAGACCCAAAAAAGCATGACCTGAATAAATCAATAAAGATAATAAAAGCCCTTCACAGGGTGCATTGGTTTTACACCCAGCTTTGAGTGGTCAGTAATGCATTTTGTTCTTTGTGGAATGGGACCTTTTCAATAAATGACCAGCAATGAAGTCTGATATTATGTCATTAAAGTTTCAGCTGTCCTGAAAAATATTCAACTGTTGATGAATTTAATCTTTAACTGGACAATGCTTTTAATCAAAATTAATAAAGCTTAGGTTATTATGAACATTATGGATATGAATGAATATACAGGCTACTTCAGAATCGGCACACCCCTACTTTGGAACCTAGGGTAATGAACAAACCCCTACTCAGCTACGCTGTATTAAACATAGTGACCAGAAAAGATAGGGGATAGTATAGATGCTATCACGTGTAGGCATAATCTATGTCTGGTATTCCTCCTTCTCTGTATCCACGATTGGTCCCATAGCCTGGATTCGCTGTGTGGTTGAGGGTGCTCCTGTAAAGAGTTGTATTATTAGAGGGGAAAATAGTATGAATGTATGTCATGTCCTCAACTTTTGCCTTTGGCTGCAAGGGTTGATGGGCTGCCAGTGGCGTCATCTGGAAACCAGGAGTTCCAATCTCTAAGATTGAGGTGTCTTTAATGGTGCCAGATTCTACATAGTCATCATAATGCTTGGCACCGCTACGGGGCCCAACAGCATCTCGTCCATAGACCCCTGTATGATCCTCGGCTGCAAGGTATCCTGCACGATGTCCATACCAGCAGAAGATCCCAAAAATTAAGAACAGGGAAGCACATGCAGTCACCCCTCCTATAATCCCTGCAAGTGGTAAGGCAGCTAGTTCATCCGTACCCTGTACGTCCTGACCCTGGTCAGCTCCAGGCTGAACCTGAGGGTCTTCTGTCTCTGTTCTGGCACAAGCTGGATGCTCATGCTCTGAGTCAGTGTTCATATTAAACCCCCCTGTAATTGATGCCCGTCTTCCCTTGTTGACAACGAGAGGCACCAAGCAGATAATGTAACTTGACTGGGGCTGTAGCTGAGTGAGTAAATACTCTCTGCGGTCCCCTGGGACTAGTGTCTCTGTGATGGACCCCATGGCTGGGTTGTTGCCTAATCTTAGCCAGGAGAGCCTGAAAGCTGAGGCTGGCTGAGCAGCCTGCCATGTAATGTGAACTGTCTCTGGACTTAAGGGCTTTACACTGATGACCAACGTTTTGCCAGCAACTCCACCCTCACCCCCTAAAGGACTGTCTTGTCCCAAGTCAGGGTACCTGTGTACAGGCCGCCTGGACCTGAGTGTAAAAAGAGAACCCTGGGGAAGTGGGACGGTTGTTGTAGTTGGGGAGTCGGTCGGAAAATCCCCTTTGTCTCTTTTGGCTCCTTCAACTCCCCCAAGCCCTCCAACTCCCCCCAGTCCATCCACCTCACACTGCTCCATTTGACTTGTGAGGTCCCTAAGTGACCTGCCTCTTACTTTTTCTGGTGCATGACATGTTAGACCCCTCACAGTTACTGATGAACCTCGGACATGCAACCAGTCATGGAGCCAGCGGAGGTTACAGCCACAATACCAGGGATTCCCACGGAGAAGCAGCTGTGAAATGCTGTCCAAGTCCCTGAACAAACCTCTGGGGAGCGTTGTAAGGTTGTTGCCTGATAAGTCAAGCTTCTGCAGCCTGCGCATACCATCCAAGGAACCCCTTGGCATGTGAGCCATGGCATTGTCCTGCAGGTATAGTCGAAGAAGATGTGTGCTGGGAAGGTTTAAAGGTGGTGATTGAAGGGAGTTGCGTACCAGAGAGAGCTCTGTTAAATTAGACAGCCGTGAAAACGTGTCGTCAGCAATGCGTTGATTCGCTAACAGGTTCCCATCAAGGAAGAGGCGTCTAAGCGACGTGAGTCCCCTGAATGCGTGTGTTGGAATTGTAGAAATTCGATTATCATCCAGTCGAAGCTCTTCAAGTGATGACGGCAACCCTGATGGTATACTAGAAAGGTGGTTGCGTGACAAGAAGAGAAGTCGTAACCTTGGATTATTTGCAAATGCCTTGTCCTCAATGCTTACTGTTGATATTGAATTATCATCCATGTGGAGTTTCTCTAGCAAAGGTAAACGTGAGAGAGCAGCTCGGGGTAAAGTTCGTATATTGTTGTCCTGCAGGTGAAGTTCACGTAACGATGGCGGCAGATGTGTCGGAAAATCATCAAGTTCATTGTCATAGAGATAAACCACTTGAACAGTCATTCGCTGCTCTAAGGATATCGGTAGGCCAGCGTTATCAATGCGATTATTCTGTAAATAGAGAACGGCTGCCGTTAACGGTAAAGGTGGTATGATGCTCAGTCCACGGTCGTTGCAGTAAATGAAACCGTCATCGCACCTGCATGCTGATGGACAAGGTACGTCCCCTTGAAGCTCTGCCTCCCCAAGTGCTGCCTCCGTGATGGCAGCTGTTGCTGCCGCAAACTCCAGCACTTCCACCAGTAGTGTTAGGCAGAGGAGAAGCAGGAACAGCCAGTCTCTGAGCTCAATCAGGCTTTCAGCTGCCATAGTGTCACTTAGTTCCCTTCACACTTCTCAGCTGCTCTTGTTTTTGGTGGTAAATCTGTATTTGGGGTAGCACTTTGTAACACGGATCCTCTTTTTCCTCTTGATCCCTGTAGAGAACAGGGACAGTAAGGTAAACAAGAAGTTGCACAGAACAATGCAAAAAAAAAAAGATTTTGGCAGGTGAAAACTTCCTAAATCTATTCAGTGTATCTAGTATGTCTCCTTATGAGATTGTTATAAAAGTATTATCAGATTATTCAACATTTCTAGATTTTTTTTTTACTAATTTAAAGTTACTTTATCAAGAGAAGCTGTCTTCTTTTGACAGTTCTGCTCTTCTACTGCATTTATCCTTTCTCTTTAAGAATGAAGACTCACTTTTTTGGAATATTAGGCCATATAAATGATTATGAAATTGCACCTCTTCTGCCTCTTCATTTTATTTTCTAATTCTTGGTCGGGTTGAGTATCGCTTGGGTCTCGTCCCACCCCCCACAACAGTGTGTATGTTATGGCCTTTTCAAGCTTGTTCAAGCAATGCTTAAGCTTGAACCCCTTCTTTGCATCTTGACAGAGATACGTTTATATGCATCTAATACTTGAAATACTTGACCATTTTACTAGATAATGTGTCTAGAAATAAGTTAAAAATTCTTATAATTGTCTCAAAATAATCATTATTACATAGGTTGACAAGATTTGAGATGATTCCGCTTGCCAAGATATCTTTTTTTTTTCAGTCATTATGCCACCTTGACCTACACCATTATACAACCACCTGTCCACCTTATACAATGCGCTCTTTTAATAATCCTCCCACATATATATGTTAAGTACAACTATGTTTTACGCATATAGCGGATCATTAGCAGTGCTGGTAAGTTTGAGGTAGAGGCAGCAGGGAAACACGAAATGGCTGGCTGAGCTGAGGATAGATATGGAGACTGCAAATGTAGAGAAAAAGACAAATAAGCAAATAGCTTTAAAAGGGGAAATGTGCAAGCAGATCAGGCAATAAGTGTAAGAGATGGGGAGGATTCAGAACATATTAAAATTGATTGACATTTCAGATCCTGAAAAACAATTACACTTTCGTTTGCCGAATGACCGAAAGTCATATTACTATTCAAATTTTACACTGAACAGTGTTTGAATAAATCAACAGTTTAATTTTAGTCCGAGTTTCATAAAGTTCATACCGGAGTCAGCTGCAGCTTTCATTTGCAGTGTAATTTGCATTCGGGATTCAGGGGCAGACCACAGACACTTGCTACAAATTGACATGCATAATGGATGCTGTTTCTGGGTGGTTATTGTTTTCAAAATAGTATGAATTATTCAGAAAGCCTATTCGGAATACCCAAGAAAGCTATCACTCTGTGTTCAACAAACTGTTGACGAGCAGGCTAGGTTTTGTTTTGTTTCTTGTGCTTGTCTTACATAGGCCTCCGCCTGTGACTTATCAAAGGAGGATGGCGGAAGGAAGAAGAGAAACACTTGCAATTAAGATGGAAATGACTTCTAAACGTTTCATTTTGCATCCTGTCCCCTTAGGTCTAAAAAAACTGCAAAGCAAACACACAAAAGGCAATTATCATCTTATGCTTCCTCATCTGCCGAGACTGAATGAAATGACCAGTGATTCCTCTCTTTTGTCAACAAACTGAATACGCTCAAGTGCTTCCCTCAAAATAATGTGAACACGGACTGAAAAAGAAGTCAAAATTGTTTGTGAAAGTTTGACAAGCACAGAAACAATTTTATATTGTGTTGAGGGCAGTAGTGACAAATTCAGACCGCATATGCCAAACCTAGAAAACAACCTTGTCTAAAAGCTGCATGGTGATTGCAAGGCGAAGCGCTGCTCACTGTCAAGGATAGTTGGGTGCTTTGTCAAAACAAAAACGCACCCAGAGAAATTACAGAAAAATTCAATTTAGACCTTTTTGAGTAGCACCCAAAACTGCACTAGTTACAGAATGATGGCCAGAGTTGATGCCCATACCAGTCATGAAAAACTTGTTGCAGTGACAAAACATGTACCTATGCATGCACCTTAAATATACAAAAAATGTGCATGGATGTTTAAAAGTCTAAGAGCAAAGTTTAATTTTGCATTCATCAGGATTTAATTTGTTCACTCTTGACTTCTGTGCACCTAATGGGTCTATAACACTTACATCCTACCAACTGTAAAACCAACCAGTTACAGCTGTGTCCTCCCAACAAAACCTTTGTTATCCTGCAAAGAGAAATTAACATTCACACAAGCAACTACCCAAACTTAATTAAGCTGCCATACAAATTTCTGTGCATCTAAAGTGGTTCAAATATACCTGAGGATATATAAGGTAATCCACTTGCATAAGGAAAAGGAAAGTCAAAGGAAAATAATTAACACATACAGAGAAAATTGGACTCTTAACAGCCTTGCAAGACCTAGTAGACCACCAAAACTGTCACCAAATCAAATCAAATCAAATCAAATCAGATTTATTGTCACATCACAAGAGTACAGGGACACAGGTGAGTGAAAAACTTGAGTGCGAGTTCCACAAATTATGCAGAGAACAGTATTTACACATAGATAAACAAAACTATAGATAGGATAGAAGAATAGATAAAACCAATTTAACTAAAATATATACATATAATCTTACACAATAACTTAAAAATAATAATATTGCACCGAGACATATAATATTGCACTGGGAATGTAGAGTGAGTGTAATCAACTATATACTATATATAGTAATGGATATTACAATGCTATGTAGATGTGCAAATAATCACACTAGGTGTGGAGGTAGAAGATGGTACAGTAGGTGGCAGAGTATTTAGTAAAGTGCAAGGTACAGGAAGTTAAGTGGAAGCGCAGGGGGAGAGTATTGTCTTTGGATAGGTATTCAAAGTTCAGCTATGCAAGTAAAGTGCGGGAGTACAGTGGGTGCACGTACGTGTAATGGGAAGGGTTGGGCTGGGCAGAGCAGTGATTACTGGCTGTTCAATAGCCTGGTTGCATGGGGGAAGAAGCTGTCTTTGAGCCGACCATCAAATAAAACAGTACTTAAACTCTCATCATTGAGAGAGAGAGAGATAAGAAAATTAAGCTCCACTCTTGGGTCAAATCTGAAAAAAATCCAAAGGTGTTTCTGTCTGTTCTTCCACTGTGAGAAGACAACTCAACACTATAGAAAGGAAGCTCAAGAAGCTCTCCCTGAAAAAAGGAAATAGACAAAAAGAAGAACATTTGCTGTGGAAGTCCATGGTTTTATGGACTGACTGATCTAAATTTGTAATTGGATCACAAGAAGCACAAAGAAAAACTGGATCACAAGAAGCACAAAGCGCAACCAACTTCTAGGACTGAACTTTTGAGGTGTGGAAAAATATCCCTGCAAATTTCTTTGAAAAACTGAAAGCAAGTCTCCCAAACAGAATGGAAGCTGTAGAGTGGACAAACTAAATGCTGAAAATCTGATATTATATTAAGTTGCTGAGTGTTCTGTGTAATTTTCTTTCTAAGTATGTTTTCTGCTTTTTTCTTGATGTTGAAAAACAAACTTTTACTTAATGCCTGTTTTGACTGAGAGTTAAATAAATGAAAGGGCGGTTGTGTTCTCTTGCCTTTGCACAGTACTGTATTGCACAAGCATACTAAACCTTATCACAGCTTTAGTTGATGTTTTTTCCTTTGTTTTTCTTGGTGGCGGCACAAAAGAGACAGAGACAACACCTGTTTGTATTCTTGTATGTTTTTGTGAGTAAAGGTGTGTGCATTGTGCTCTGTTGGGGCTTCATTCTTTTCGCTGCCTGCTCTCTCGCGGGGCTGCAGTCAGGCTTGTTTGTGTTGTTGGCCGGGCCAGATGGGAGTTGGTTAGCTGCCCCTCGGCTGCGAGCACTGTTGCCTCAGGCAGCGACTACATGCAAAACAAGTCCTTAAACGGAGCTAGCTCTCATGCAAAACTAATCGAGTTCGTTTACGCAGACAGACGGAGAGAGAGATTTGTAGTAAGAAACAATTTTGCATGTGGTTTGTTATGCCAATAGACAGTATTCATAGCAGGTGTAAGATGGACATTTAAAAGGAAGCGATTTACCTAACAAATAGATTTCTTTTTAAAATTAGAAAAATCATTTTGATTTTTTTTAAAATCAAATCATCTTTAGAGACATCATTTCCATTTAAATGGTGAATGTTCTTTGTCTGGTGCTTCATTTTTAAGGCTGTCACTGTGCACAGAATGAGGCACTTTGGCAGAAAATGGTGAGCAATTTAAATGTCATCTTTAATTGCTTGCTCGGTGTGTATACATTTGGGTATTTTTAGCATAAAATCAACTGTCTCCCCAGGCTGGCACTGTTTGTGTTTGAGCAGGAGAAGCTAGTGTCTGTGAGGGAGGTGAACAGAGAATGGCAGTGTCGAGATGCCACCCTTTTGCACATCTAATAAAATGTGCCTCACTCATCTCCTTTCATCATAATCCATTTAGCTTAAGCCAACACAATAAAGCAGTGAAAATAGTGTGTTTGTGTGTACAGGTCTGTGATCGTGTGCGGTTTTAGGCGTTTGATTTCTGTGCGAAAGTAGTTCAGCACCGTGCAGAAGTCAGAGACCACCAACCTTCATTTATTTAATTTCCAGTGTCGGCCAGTATTTTTCAGGAGATATTTCTGAGGGGATTAGATATAAGATAATCCAATTGCATAAGGAAGAGGAAGGTCAAAGGAAAATAAGTGGAAAAAAGCAGGAGTTTCCAAAACTAGCGTTCAAAACTGTGTTAAAAGATACAGTGAAAATGGGATTCCTAACAACTGTGCAAGACCTGGACCACCAAAAGCATCACCATCAGATAAACAGCACTGAAAGGTTTCATCTTGGGGAAAAAAAAATCTCCACTCTTTCTTCAGATCTAAAAAAAAACCCCACAGATGTTAAATTTATTCTGTGGTTGGTGCTTTTGTTTCTTTGTTCTGTTTTTTGGACAGCGATGATATGTTTTTGCTTTCTAATGCTGATAAATGAATAACGTGTACTTAATATATATTTTGACTGAAAAAAAAAAATGATCTTTGATTTCTGCACAGTACTGTACAAGACAAACCTGTGTGCCTTCAGACCGCAGACTCCTGCCCACTCTCTGACCTGCTACATGTTCTGAATGAATAAGTGCCACACTCTCTTTCACACACACTAGCACACTTACACTCCTGCTTCCCTTTCATTTCCAGCTCATTTCTTCTGTCCTTTAAACATTTTCCCACGCTTAAATGTTTTCATCAGTGGTCATCTTCTTAGCCGCCCCCTCTTCCTCTGCTAACTCTCATCATCTCTTCATCTACGGTGTCTCTATTATTTCATATTTTTTTTTCCATCTCTTCTCTGATTCGGGGTCCTCACTCTAATTTTCTTGCCTTTGTCATCACTGTTTGAAAATGACGTCTATGACTCATATCAATTACTGCATCTAGTAGGAATGCGCTACATGTAGTTACTTAGTTGGTAGCATAATATTGGCCTCTGTAACACTGACATCACACAAGGCTGCTTTATACAAATGAAATCATTTGTTTATTGTGTACTGAGAGCATCTAGAGCACCCTGAGTGTTCTTATGAATATTTGCATTTGAGGCTTTAATAACTGACGTAATTTATTTAGGTCAAACTAAATAAATTTATTTAGGCCACTCTTTATCCAGGCCTTATTCAGGGTTTAGAAGTGTATTTTAAATACAACATGCTGCAGTTGTAATATGTAACCATGTAATTTCATTATAGAAGTTTGTCCTTATTGTGTCCTAGAATCTAGCCCATTTTCTCTTAATTTTTAAGCATTTTGTATGTACTTTTTTAACATATTAATGGAGTTAATTTTCTTTCTGTATACTGACACAGAAAGAATATGTATTGTTCTTTAAATGGGCTGTTGTCTTGTTTTGTTAATGTGTTTATGCCTTTAGCTGCTAAATTGACTGAACAGTATTGATATTTTCTGCCTTTTTGTGTTGCTTTGGTTGGGTGTGAGTTAGGCAAGACTAAATTGGAAGATGCGAAAGTTCTATTGCTGTCGAATCTAGCTGACAAATGCTGACACCTGTTAGCGTCTTAGTTGAAGTACTATTCACTGAGCCATTGCTAACAGTGTTGGGATAATTGGCAACATCCATACTTGTGTTGCTCTAACACTCACCACTGTGGTTACCGCAATCACTCATGATTGAACGTAACTCTACCTTTGTAATCTGATGTTGCACACTGATTCAAAGTTTGGTCTCTGCCAGAAAATAAAAGCTTAAAGTCTGCTGCCATTAGGTTGTTTAGGTTGCCGTGGCTATGCTGCTGTCAAACGCTGGGCAGACTGATATGCTTGATCTTTAGGTTTTAATGTTTGCAATCGAGGTGCCAATAAGATAATATATCTAAAATATCACAGTAGAGAGACTAGGCCATCTTCGAATATTCTTGGAGACTTTCAAATTATGTAGAAAAAATTTTAAGAAAGAAGACATCTTACTCTTTAGAGAAGGAATTGGGTGCTCCTTTGCCTTTGTAGTAGCTTCTTGAGTGTCAGTACTACTGAGTGTGGTTCCAGACTGTGGTTGGTGTTGAGTAAAATCTTCAGTCTCACTGCATGTCCAGTCACTTCAGTGAGCGATAGCCGTGGCAGCCATTACCGATGGCATTCTTGGGAATTGTAGGCATTAGGACCAGCGTAACTCCATCCAGAGCAAGTTTCCACTCTTGAAAACAGTTCAATCAAAGCAAGTACTGTTTTGCTCAACTTCTAAAGCCAGAGGACCTTGTAACTGATGTTTTGGGTTGAAGTCTTTGTACATCCAGAGGCGCAGTGATCATTTTGGCTGTGTATCCTCACATCAGTAACAGTTCGGCTGTTTGCCTCACTTGTGAGACAGTTTCACCTGTGAAGACAGAATTCACAACTGAGAATGAAATTATTCACATTCCGATTGCACTACTTTAAAATCTCTTCAACCTTAAAAGAACCGCTCTCGACAAAATAGAAGCTTTGAAAATAAGGAAGTCAAGTATAGTGTGCAGAATTAAGTGGAAAATCTCTTTTACAGACCGCTTTAAGCCATGGCCCAGACCAAAACACACATACAAACTGGGTCACTTTGCTGACAGGACTGAAGAACTGCTCCGAATGATGACACTGTACACCCCCACACAATCTGCTTCATTACGTTAGAGCAAAACAAAACACTGGCTCTGTAAATTTCTCAGATTCACAGCTATTAGATCCTAGTACATCCATGCAGTGCGTCTGAAATTGTTGGCTGCGGATATACATATTTGATTGTTTCACATTTATGTTTAGCACAACAGCCGTTACGGGACCCTGAGCTTTACACTTGCGACTGTGTTGTATTTCCCAGTCCGAACATGTGGCTGGTTTGTGGAAGAGTTTGTAATTTTTAACGTCTCTTCGGGGGACCATTGACTTGCAGTGTAATGGCTCCAATCAGAGCGAAGCAGTGTTCAAAAACAATATTCCTGATGTACAGTGCGCAGTGTGGCAAACGCAGAGAGAGACAGAAGGAAATGGATCACTGGAGAGCAGTACTGGCCTGCGTGGGGAGACTGTGAACATTTCCAGCTCTCTGAGTTAATGCAAAAGGAATGAAGCTCCACCGGAGTAATAATGAATGTGTGGGCTAATTAAAATCAATAATGTATTTGGGGATTTTTAGCGAATCGATGCTTGTAAGTTGGTGCGAAGAGGCAGAAGCAGCAGCAGTAGGCACATATTCACACAGATAAACTGCTGATCAGTGGGCTCAGGACTGCACTTTGCTCATGGTTCACAGTCTACACAATTATTTTTTTATTTTTCCCCCTTTTTCTATGTCTACCCATTACTCTCTGTCCTGTCATCTCTCACCTCTCTTGCATTCTCTCCTTGCTTCACCTCTGCTTCTCACCTTGCTCTCTCTCTAACTCTCTCTCTCTCTCTGTCTCTCTCACTCGCTCTCTTTGTGTTTATCCTTCTGTTCTTTTTTCATGCTCTCCCGCTTCGTTCACTCTCTCCGTTCTCTCTCTCTTCTCTTTCTTTATGCTGTCGCGCTTACACTCTTCATTTACACTTTCTGTTGCTGACATTCTCTCACTTTCTCTTTGTTTATGCTCCTTCCTTCTCTCTTTTTCTTTCTTTTCAGCATTTCTGTATGTTCTCTCACTTGCAGTTTCTCTTTTTTTCATGCACTGTATCTCTTCTTTCTTTCCTTATGGTGTCTTGCTCACACTATTCATTCATGCTCTCTCTCTCTTTATGCTCTCTGCCTCTCTCTCTCTATTTAGGCCCTCTTTTCTGCTCACACTCCTTCATTCTTTCTCCTCTCTCTTTGTGCTTCTTCTCGCTGGTCTGCTCCCTCTCTCTGCCTCTCTTGCTTCCTCTCTCTCTTTCTTTCATGCTCTGTACTGCTCTTCTGTTATCTTTCTATCTTCTTCTCCCTGCATTCTATCTTTGTTTATGCTGTCTTTCTTCCTTTCTTCTTGTTCTCTCTCTCACTTGCTCTTTCTTACTTTTTTTTTAGGTTCTTTCCTTCTCTTTTTTTCTTCATACTCTCTCACACGTTTTCTCTTTCTTTTTCTCTGTCTTCATTCTGTCTCTCTCTCTCTGCTTTTTTTCTCTGCACTTTGCTCTGCTCTCACTCTTCCGCTCTCTCCTTAATTTTCTCTCTCTCTTTTCTCTCCCTCTATTTCCTCTCTTCCTCCTTCCCTGGTGTTCAGAGACAGAGTTATATGTTGTGTAGAATGTAATAATGAGATCTGGTAAGAGTGTATATCAGGGCTGCTGTCACAACCGGTCGAACTTCTGACCTTTAACCCTGACTGTGGGACCTTGCGAGCGTGTATCAGTGCAATTCTCCATCTGCTGCTCACGACACGCTGCTGCTGATGACAGCGTGGAGATATTTTATAGATAGAAGTTTGGCTTGTTCAGCCTCAGTAACTCTCTGATAATTGTGGTTTGCTGGAAAACTGTGATGGGTATGTGTGTGCGCGTGTGTGTCGGTGTGTGTGCGCGTGTGTGTGTGCATGTGCCAGGTGGGGAATGGTGTAGGGACGCACTAATCTGACTTCTCCCCTCTCAATACCAATTCTGATACCTGAACTCAGCCTATGCCGAACATAAAATCTAATAAAGCTCATCTAATGTGCTGCAATAATGGAAGATTTCATTCAGTGCTATGGCATATCTATTTTAAGAAATTTTGGTAATTAAGGATTTTTAAAATGAGGCACATTTAGATAAGTATTTCATATTTAAACATATTCTTCTTTATTCTTAAACATATTTATTTATTTATTAGTTTTTAACTCCTTTATTAATATATTAACTAATAAACATCTTAACAGACGTCTTCTCCGTCGCCTTGTTATCTCAAAAGCATCCAAAAATCTGACAATTTTCAACAGAATTAGAAAAGCTTTTCTACACCGAGCTTTTTTTATTTCGTGTTTGCAAACACTGATTTCATCTCCTTAGACGAACAAGTTTGCCTGTAATGTGGTGTTTCGTAATTATTACCTCAGTGGTGTCCAGTTTTACCGCAGAGGGCCGGTGTGGCTGCAGGTTTTCATTCCAAACAAGCTGAAGCTTGCCTGATTCCACTTTTTCTTTTTTTCATCTGGTTCCAGTCAAACAACTGATCATATGATCTCCTTCTTTGCTGGAATGAAAACGTGTAGTCGCACTGGTCTTTGGCGTGTAAGATTGGACACCCCTGTGTTACCTGTAAGTAGAGCATTTACTGCCATCAATAATGGCAACTATGTCTAAGAAACATTATCAATAGTGGATGAGGATCGTCTGGCCAAAAACTGATTCATTGAATAAGGTCAGTATTGGCGCCGATTCCAATCTAGTGTATTGAATCGGTGCATCACTAGAATTATGTGATAAACTCCTCTTTGTGCATTTGTATGTTAGAACAGCATTGTGTACGTGTAACTACTTAAGCATCCTGTGCACGTAACCCTCCCCATCTCTGCCTTTCAATTTCTCATTTACTGAGTGAGAGAATGAAAAAGAGAGAGAGAGAGAGAGAGAGAGAGTGGCAGATGGAGAAGTAAAGAGAAGAAGGAAGATTGATGAATCCATTGGAATGAAATTTGGAGGCAGAAATTACTGTCAGGCCAAGTAGGGTTTAAACCCACCGGAGCCTGGTTTCACGACACTGACACACTCATACGCACACACATACATGCGCTCACACACTCACTCACTGGGCTTTGTCTTAAGATCATGAAGGAACATGAAAAGTTAATGGCCTATCTCATCCCTCACACTGCTTTGTCATAAAATATTACTAAAGTACATCATGAAATAATTATTCCGCAGCAGATCCAGCTCATTATTAATTCAGGGCAGGGCTTGATAAATGGCGTTGTGATATAGAGCCGTGAACAGTGTAAACAAACAGAGTGATTTGTGTTCATGTCTGGTCACTAGCCCATGAGAATGATAATAAAGCGCTTGGTTAATATGATCTGATTGGAATGTATCCCTCAGGGCCTTGCTACTGTACTGGATACTGTGTATGCGAGTGGGTGTAGAGGGCCAGTCGGCGTGTGTGCGTGTGTGTCTGTGTGTCTGTCTGTCTCCCAGTGCTGTTACAGAGATGGATGCAGTGGCCGCCGGGCATGCTTGTGTGTCAGGATGTTTTTCGGCACTCATATCAGCACACGCTTCTGAAGCTAGTACTCCAAGCTTCCAGGCTGCTGAAGCTTCGACCTCAGCCTCACAATGGCTGTCAGTGAAAGTCTATTCCAGAACACATAATGTTCTGCAGTCTCCCTCTAATAAAGCCTCTACATCTGTATTAACAAATGAACTGTCCTTCTTATAGAAAACAAGTCTTACATAGTACATAAACATTAAAGTTTAAGACATACTATTCACTCCATACAAACGTAGCTGCAGAAACGTCTCATTTAGAATGAATTACTACATACTGCTCGCATACTGATTCTGCCCAAAAGTACTAAGTAGTATGCAATATGTGACCAACACGAATTTCTCCAGTATGCTGAAGATACCCGGATGACATACTGCTCCAGCAAATTTTTTAATTAAGCTGCCACAGCTTTCTTCGTGCATCTCAAAATGCAACGTGGCTGTTCCAGGAGGACGTAACCACTGACGTCACTGCCTGGATATTTTTAATAGCCCTGGATTCAGCTTTTCTTCTATGCATTAAAAAAGACAAACAAAGAAATTTCACAAAATGTTGCTGTTTTCAGGGAAGACTAACCAGTTTTCCCTGTTGGTCTTGAGGTGAGTTGGTTTACTTTGTCTGTTTAAAAGTTAACTTTCTGCATAACATGGATAAAACAGTAACTCGGCCTGATAGTCCGCTCAACATTGGCTTTTCCCGTGTGGAGTCACACTGCTTATTATTCAGTCAAACTAGCACATAATGTAGCGTAATGAAAATTAAATGACTCGTAAATGGCGGGAAAGATGTGTGTTTGGCAACCACCCAAGTTAAACCCAAAGGTGATGTTTTTTAAAGTTTATTTGTAGCCTTGAAGCCGAGTAGAAAACAAT